AGCTTTCTGTTCCAATTGTACCTCGCATCTAATTCCTTGAAAAAATATCCAAGCATTTCTTTTCCTAACTTTTAAATGATCTCTCTTTTTTTTAATTTTAAAATATTAAGGGAGTACAAAAATGTTTTAGGTTACACAGATTGCTTTTGTAATGCTTGAGCTCTGGTTATATGTGTACCCATTATCCAAATCTTCATTGTATCTGTTAGGTAGGTTTTTGCCCCTCCTCTCCTCCCAAATATCCAAAGTATTTCTGAACCTGCTCTAGCTACTTGGGAGGCTAAGGCAGAAGGATCGCTTGAGCTCAGGAGTTCAAGGCTATAGTAAGCAATGATTACACCGCTGCACTCCAGCCTGGGTGATGGGGTAGGGAAGGAAAGGGAAGGGAAGGGAGGGGAGCAGAGCAAAGGAGGGGAAAGGAGGAGTAGAGGGGAGAGGAAGGAAGGCCAGAGCAGCTGAGACAAAAATAATACAGTTCTATTATGTATTCTCTACCAAAGCTGTTCTGCTCAGTAGAATACAGTGGAAGCAATCCCCATGTCAGATCCAAATGTAGGGGACAGAGATCCCATCTCTTGACAGAAGGTGTGTCAAAGAATAGGCAAGAGACTGCAAGTCTCTTAAGGTTTGGGCTTAGAAATGAGCTCAACATTACTTCCATGATATTCTATTGGACAGGGCATACTACTCTGACCAATAAAATACAGTGGAAGGAATCTCCCCCCAGATCCAAAGGTAGAGAACAGAGAACTTACCTATTGACAGGAGGTGTGTTAAAGAACTGCCAAGGGACTGCAGTCTCTTAAGGACTTGACTTAGAAATGGGCTCAACATTATTTCCACTGTAATGTAACCAGGCTTAGAAATAGGATCAAAATTATTTCCAAAGCATTCTATTGGTCAGACCTTAGAAACAGGATCAACATTACTTCCACTTCCATCTCTTGACAGAAGGTGTGTCAAAGAACTACCAAGGGACTGCCAGTCTCTTAAGGTCTGGTCTTAGAAATGAGGTAAACATTAATTCCACTGTATTCTATTGGTCAGAGTTATGACCAATAGAAAACAGTGGAAGTAATCCCCCCAGATCTAACGGTAAGGGACAGAGTAGAATGCATGTAATCCCCCTGCCAGATCCAAAGATAGAGGACATAGATCCCACCTCTCCCAGGTTTAATCTTTTACTGCCTTTCCAGGAATTTCTGTCATCTGTCATTCCTAACTCTATTCATAAATATTCCTATGCTTTAACTCCCATCTTTCATTTCTAATATTACATTTTCAAAGCACTGTCATTATGTAACATGATCTACTCAAGACTGAAAATGCTTTACATTTGTAATTAACATTGTGGAAAACAAATTGCTGAACTATTTTATTAAGTTCTTAAGTTCGAATGTCTATAAAACTATACACAGCCTCATGCATAAGAAAAGGAAAATTATCTGAGTTTTATTTGCCTTATGAAAATAATAGAACCCACCTTATATCACAGTATTCATCGAAGATCAAATGAAATCATTTATGAACATGTTTAAAGAATATCTTAGTCTATTTTCTCCTGCTATAACAGAATACCCAAGACTGAATAATTTATAATAAAAAGATGTTTATTTGGCTCACAGTTCTGGAGGCTGGGAAGTCTAAGAGCATGGCACCAGTACCTGGTGAAGGTCATCCATGGCTGAAGACATCACAGGGAGAGAAGCAGTGCAAGAGAGAGCCAGAGAGGGAGGGGCTGAACTCATCCTTTTAATCAGGAACTCACTTCCATGATAACAGCATTAATCATCTCTTAGAGATTCCACTTCTTAATACTGTTACTGTTGGCAATTAAATCTCAGCATTAGTTTTGGTGGGAATATTCAAACTATAGCAGAGAATTGTTACCTTAAGGTACATACCACATTTCATCAAATCTTAGACACATCCATTGTATGACACACCACTAGTTTATATACCACTAAGAAAGAAACAATGTGGCCAATTTAAAACCATAATACATGTTTTCTTATCACTTAGAACTTTTAATACCCAGCAAAAGAGCTCTTTTATACTTAATTAGACATGGATTATTTTGTTTATTTATTCAGAGACAGAGTCTCACTCTGTCGCAGCGGCATCATCATAGTTCACTGCAATCTCAAACTCTTGGGCTTAAGTGATCCTCCTGCCTCAGCCTCCAGGTGTGTGGCACCTTGCCTGGTTAATTTTTCTATTTTTTTTAGTGGGGATGGAGTCTTGCTTTTGCTCAGGCTTATCTCCAACTCCTGAGCTGAAGCAATCTTCCCGTCTTGGCATCCCAGAGTGCTAGGATTACAGGATTACATGTACCTGCCTGGATTGTTATATTTGTTTAATTTAATTCTAATATTTAATACTTGTATAAATATTAAGAGGAGACTATGAAATTAATTGGTTAAGCTATTCTTAAACTTCTCATTCAGTCCAACATTCGTTTTTTTTTTTCTGAGACAGAGTCTCACTTTGTTGCCCAGGCTAGAGTGAGTGCTGTGGCATCAGCCTAACACAGCAACCTCAATCTCCTGGACTCAAGCAATCCTCCTGCCTCAGCCTCCCAAGTAGCTGGGACTACAGGCATGTGCCACCATGCCCGGCTAAGTTTTTTTTTCTATATATATTAGTTGGCCAATTAATTTCTTTCTATTTATAGTAGAGACGGGGTCTGGCTCTTGTTCAGGCTGGTTTCAAACTCCTGACCTCAAGCAATTCGCCTGCCTCGGCCTCCCAGAGTGCTAAGATTACAGGTGTGAGCCACTGTGCCCGGCCATCATTCAGTCCAACATTCTTGAATCATTTCTCAACTCAATCATTGATATCCACTTTTTCCACATAATAATCTTATCTGAGCCATCAAGAATATTGTTGATGTAGCATTTGTTATTAGAACTCCCCCAAAATAAATAATGACCAGAAAACATACCAATTAAACCATAAGTTGAGACTGTCTTCTGGTCACTTTCAGTTCCTCATTGCCAAGTAAACCAACAGGTAAAGAAGGGGGTTAACTGTACTGGTCAAAGTGATTGAACTGTCCATTAAGGAGAAACTAGTGTCCTATGGCCCAATGAGGATAAGGAGGAATATATCTGTAATGCAAGAGATCTCTTGGGGTACCTCTTAGAACTCCTGTGTTTTGCAATTTTATAATCGATTATTGTTTTAGTCCATTTGTGTTGTTATAAAGGGATTCCCAAGGCTGGGAAATAGATAAAGAGGTTTATTTGGCTCATGGTTCTGCGGGCTGTACAAGAAGCATGGTGCCAACAGCTGCTTCTGATGAGGGTTTCAGGAAGCTTCCACTCATGGTACAAGGCAAAGGGGAGATGGCATGTGCCGATCACCAGGTGACAGAGGAAGCAGGAGAGGGAGGGGCAAGATGCCATGCTCTTTTTTTAACAACCAGTTTATCATGGGAACTAATAGAGTGAGAACTCACTCATTACTTTGAGGACAGCACCAACAAGCCATTCATGAGGGATCCACTCCCATGATCTTAATACCTCCCATTCAGCCCCCACTTCTAACATTGGGGATCAAATTTCAACATGAGGTTTGCAGGGTCAAATTTCCAAACTATAGCAATTTAGTTTCATTCTTTGCTAATTTATAAACTGTACAGGATTCTGTTGCACAGGAGAATCTCATTGAAAACATTTGACCAGAAGTCTGATAAGAAAAACAAAGCTGCATGTTTAAGATTAGTCATGTGTGCATGAGTGTTTCTATTTATTTATGCCATATATATGTATATATATGTGCATATTTTTATTTAAGAGATGGGAGTCTCGCTATGTTGCACAGGCTGGATTTTGAACTCTGGTTCAAGCCATTCTCCCACTTCAGCCTCCTCAGTAGCTGGGACTACAGGTGTGTGCCACTGAGCCCAGCTTATGCCTTATACAGTCTTTTGTGTGTATGGGGGTAAAAACAGAGATATATACAGAGATGTGGATGCTATCAGATCATTCATGTTTGAAGTTGTGAGAACGCATAAATCAGTAAAGTAGATAACTGAAATTTAAATCTCACAAATGAGCAGAAAATATAATTTCTCATAGATGATTTATAGTGTTAATTCTGTGAACACTATTGTTTAAGAATAAAATGCTTTGCAATTTCAATGAATTGAATATTATGGTACACGGCAAGGAAGGGGAGCTAGTAGACTTCTGTAAATTACTTAACAACTCTGAATCTTTGTAAAATGGGTACAAGTGCTACTTAGGTAAGACACTTTGGAAATGAGACTGAGAGAAGCGTTACTTTTCTTCTCCTAACCCAGGGCTTCTCAACCTCAGCAGTACTGACGTGTCAGGCCAGTTAACTGTCCTGCACACTGTCAGACATTTAGCAGCTTCCCCAACCTCGACCCACCGGTACCCTCTACCATCCGGAGACTCCAGCAGCACTCTCCCCAGATGTGAGGCAGAAAATGCTCCCCAAATTGCCAGTGTCTCTCGGGAGGCAAAATCGCTGCCGCTGAGAATCACTGTCCTAACCCCATATTCGCCCAAAAAGGATTCGAGGGGCGGGAGGGAGAAGTAACACAATAGCCCCGAAGGAGCTGAACGCAGTGGCCCGACTCATAGTTCCCTGAAGGCAGGAACTGTGACTCCGAGACCTGGGGATGAGGAACTCCGAGCTGCGGTGAGTAGTAGCAGAAGTCCTAATTAATCGATAGAGTCGTGAGGGAAAGCGCAACAAAGGACAAATGAAGAGGTCAAGCGGCCGAGCCTTCGGTTTCAGAGAATCCGAGGCCCACACTGGTCACCACTCACGCTGCGCGGCCAACTCCCAGGCAGATTCAACGCCACACAAACTGAGACGGCAACGCCGCCAGAAAGGCCGCGGGAGCGAGCAAGAGGCGCAGGGCGGGGGCGGGGCGGGGGCAGGGCGGGGGAGGTGGCTGGTCCGGAGCCCCGCCCCGCCCCTCGCGCTGACGCTGCCACAGGCCCCGCCCCCGCCCCTCGCTCTCGGGCGCGGGCGCGGGCGGGTGCGCCTCGGCCTCCGCCCCCGGCCGCCTGCGGCGCCCTGCGTGAGCGGGCAGGGGCGGGTTGGAAGGCGTCGGAGCTGCCACGTCTGGGCCGCGGTTCCCGCTGTGGCGCGGAAGGTGGAGGAGGAGGTGGGGCTGGCGCTGAAGCCGGATCCGGATCCGGTGGCGTGCACACCAGCGGGGGAGAGTCCGACGCGCCGGGCGAGGAGCGCCGACTGCGCGGCCTCCGCGGGTGAGGAGGGCCGGTGTCGTGGGTCCGCGGCGGGCCTGCCGTCGGGTTTATCTAACAGGTGTTCGTGCTGCCGCGAGCGGGGCGGGCGGGCCCCGGCGGCGCTGTCGGCCGAGCCGGGCGTTCGCCCTCTCCAGCCCGGCGCACACGGGGCGTAGCGCGCGGCTCCGAGCTGGTGGAACCGACTCACGCCCGCAGCAGAGGTTAAGCTCGGCGGCCGGCGGTCCGGCCGCGCTGGGGCCTTGGCCTGGCAGGCAGCAGCAGGCATTGGGATCGAAACTCACTCTTCGCTCTCCAGGCTTCGGCGTGGGAGAGCCAGACGGTTGCTCGCGGTCTTTGCAGCCATCCCTTGGGAAGGGGCACGAACGCCTCGGGCCTGCCTTTCCAGGGCGCATCCCCGGTGGTCGGGAGCCGGTCAGGACACGTGCTGCTCCGAAGAGCACCTTCCACATTGGCTAGGTCGGGGCTTTTCCCGGGGTAGAGGGACATCCTTTGTCTCTTTTCCCTGGGCTTCTACCCCTAGAAACACCGAGTACTGTGCTCCGATTTCTGTTTTAAGAGCTGTTTATGTAAGCCAAACTCTTTTTAAAATTTCATACAAAATGGAACGGGCAATTATGGGATTCGTTTTGTTAGGATAATCACTCTTGAACGAATCGTAGAATGAATCTCAAGACATGTAGATTTATTTAGGCAGGAGTCGCTGAATAGGGGGATACAGAGCTAGCTACCTGTCCGGTACGATGATGTCAAGATTGGCACCTATTGAGTATAGTAATCTAGGGCTCAAGATGGGAAAACAGGGTAAGAGGATTCTACTCCGACTTCACTCATTTGCTGTTACCTTGGGGCAGGTCTTGAAAGTTGCAAGTGCTCCAGCTTCCCCATTGCCACACTGGGAATAATGCTCAGATTGTAAAGATCAGATAAACTATCAGAAAATACTTCTGAAAACTCGTGGCATCGCATAACTTAATAAATATGGCCAGGCCTGTTAAAATCATTGATGAAGGAAATGTTATTTAGCTTCAAAATGTAGTCAAATTATTGAAATGTCTATAAAGGAACCCTCACGTTTCAAATAGCAGATGCCCCAGACGTCCCAGTCACCACGTACAATGCCTCAGAAGCTCTTGAGACATGTGGAAAGCAGTTTAGACTTGGCTGTAGATTATGTTTTTAAAAATTTTTATAACGACTTTTTAATCTTATCTCCAGTGTCTATTACTTGTTGCTCTCAATTGCTTGCTTCTAGCAACAGCTTCTTCCCATTTGTATTCGATTTTGATAAAGAGGCTGGGAGACCATATTGTTGAAATTATGTCTAAAAAATACTCAGTTGAGTGAAAACCTGATGTGATAACTAGTAAAGATGAGTTTGGTGTATGGATCTTGTGATAACGTTTAGTGGCAGTTGGGAATCTTTTTATTTTTTTGGTCTAGATTTTCTGAAATGTGACCTCCAGATGGGTCTTATAAAATTTGTTCACTAGGCATTTATTGGCCTAGGGTTAGGCATATATAAACTTTCTAAATGCATGTTAATTTAGCAGTTGAACAGAAAAGGTTCGTGAGGAATATTAAGGAGGGCTAGGGTTTACTTTTTTTTTTTTTTTTGAGACAGAGTCTCGCTTTGTTGCCCAGGCTAGAGTGAGTGCCGTGGCGTCAGCCTAGCTCACAGCAACCTCAGACTCCTGGGCTCGAGTGATCCTTCTGCCTCAGCCTCCCGGGTAGCTGGGACTACAGGCATGCGCCACCATGCCCGGCTAATTTTTTTATATATATATCAGTTGGCCAATTAATTTCTTTCTATTTATAGTAGAGACGGGGTCTCGCTCTTGCTCAGGCTGGTTTTGAACTCCTGACCTTGAGCAATCCGCCCGCCTCGGCCTCCCAAGAGCTAGGATTACAGGCGTGAGCCACAGCGCCCGGCCTAGGGTTTACTTTTTAAAGTTAATCCCAAAACTTTTAAAGTTAATCCCAAAACTTTTAAAGTTAATATAAAAACTAAAAAATAAGATCCCAATGATAAGGATGAGATTGAGCTTAAAACAACTGTGCAATTTTATTTGCAGAAATTTCCTAGTTTTGTAATATCTGAGGCACCTTAAGATCCTAAAATATTATTTCTTTTGTAAACCAAATAAGATTACTTATTTGTTCTTTACTTGAAAGTCTTTGGAATTTTGTATCCACTCACATCTTGCTTTTACTTTGCCTGGCATGTTAGTTTGGCACCAGCAGAATTTTACTATTTGAGGACAAAATTAGATAAAATGAGTCTTAACTATGGCTCTGTTTTGCAAAATAGTTCATAAAAACATTTTGATATTAATTTCTGATTGCCTGGCTAATAGAGTCTTATTTCTATCCAGAATGCTTTGTTTAATGCATTTTGGTTACTATGAAATCCCCATTTTCCAAATACAGGCTCCAAGCATGTCTCTTGACTAAATTTTTAACCCTTGTACCCCAATAAAGTAGGGAATTTATCCACATTAGTGTTTTCTTTAGTGCATCTTCAGTTAAGAGCAGAGCCTAAAGTCATACTGCCTAGCAGGACTAGCTACATAATTTGTGGTAATCCAGATTAAAGTGCAGGGCTCTTTGTTAAAAAATTATTAAGAATTTCAAAGCAGTGGCAGCAGAATATTAAACTTAAGTACCAGGTCCTGGGCAACCGCACAGGTCCAGTTCCTGTGAAGCTAGCCTTGTTGCTTCATTTTGAATCTTAACTCTGTTCTTAATTGATACTATAACCTTGGGCAAGTTACTATGTCTGCTTCCTTGTCTGTAAAATAATACATAATAATGATACACCTTTCATTGTATTTTTAAGAGTTAACAAATAATAAAGTTTTTGGTAAATGCTAGCCAATATTTATCTTTAGAATGATTGATGGAATAAAGTCATCTGGTTAAAGAAAAGTACAGGAAAATCTTAGTATTTACTGGTTAAAATCCATAAGTTAAAGGCTTCATAATCCTAATTCTTCTCCTGTGTATCTCTCCCCTCTCTCTCACAAAAATTATTAACCCTATGTTGTGACTACATTTTATAAACTCAAGCCTCTTTATAGGAAAAAGGAATCTAGTTTAAATTTTGAAAATTATTAACCCTATTTTGTGTGTTTTCCAGACTACATTTTATAAACTCAAGCATCTTTATAGGAAAAAGGAATCTAGTTTAAATTTTGTTAATGTTCATCTAAACTCCCTTTTTTTTTTTGAGACAGAGTCTCGCTTTGTTGCCCAGGCTAGAGTGAGTGCTGTGGCGTCAGCCTAGCTCACAGCAACCTCACACTCCTGGGCTCCAGCGATCCTTCTGCCTCAGCCTCCCGAGTAGCTGGGACTACAGGCATGCGCCACCATGCCTGGCTAATTTTTTCTATGTATATTAGTTGGCCAATTAATTTCTTTGTTATTTATAGTAGAGACAAGGTCTTGCTCTTGCTCTTGCTCAGGCTGGTTTTGAACTCCTGACCTTGAGCAATCCGCCCACCTCGGCCTCCCAGAGAGCTAGGATTACAGGCGTGAGCCACGGCGCCGGCCTAAACTCCCTTTTCAGCTTTCCTTAAACTTTGTGTTTACAATTGTGTGTTAAATAGCATGATCAAAATGTTTAAATAGGGGGCAAGGGCAATATATATAACCTTAACATTTTTACTCCCATAATATGTTGATAAAAGTAAATAAATTTAAAAAATACTAAAAAAATGTTTAAATAATATGCTGCTTTGAGGAACTTAAATTTTTAATATTTTTTGGCTTCTGCATTTAAAATGTAAACATTTTACTTTATTCATAAATATTTAGCCTGTTTATCTGCATACCTGAAAAAACAATGTTGTTACCCACATTTCAGATGACATTACTAACACTAAAATGCATGCATTAAAATTAACCTATTAAAAAAACTGGGGTTTTTGGGATGAAATTTCTTCTTTTTTTATTTAAGCATATTATGAGGGTACAAATGTTTAGGTTATATGTGTTGCCTGTGTCCCCCTACCCCTCCCCATAAAAAACTGTTTTGAATGGATGGTAAACTTGTTAAATTTGATATGATTATTTTAATCATCACAATTTATATCCTTTCACTAATGATTTTAGAAGTAGGAATAGTGCTTATAGCGTAATTTGCTCTGAATCCTTTTTGAGGAAAAAAACCTCTCAGTATTCTACATAATAAACTATGTTTTTATTCTTTCCTACCCAAGAATGCTAACTTTTTGTTTAATACAAAAGATAACCTGTCATTCTTTTTTTTTTTTTTTTTTGAGACAGAGTCTCACTTTGTTGCCAGGCTAGAGTGAGTGCCGTGGCATCAGCCTAGCTCACAGCAACCTCAAACTCCTGGGCTCAAGTGATCCTCCTGCCTCAGCCTCCCGAGTAGCTGGGACTACAGGCATGCACCACCCTGCCTGGCTAATTTTTCTATGTATATTAGTTGGCCAATTAATTTCTTTGTTATTTATAGTAGAGACAAGGTCTTGCTCTTGCTCTTGCTCAGGCTGGTTTCCAACTCCTGACCTTGAGCAATCCGCCCGCCTCGGCCTCCCAGAGTGCTAGGATTATAGGCGTGAGCCACGACGCCCGGCTCATTCTTCTTGTAGTCCCTGTACCCAGCACAGTGCCTGATTCATGAATTAAAGGTGAAAAAAATTAACAAGAATTTATAAACTTGAATTTTAAATGTATTGCTAACTAGAATATATCTTGTACTTGCAGTATGGCAGGCACTGTTAAGTACTTGCTTATATACAGTAGTTCATTTCATCCTTCCAGTAATTTCATCTCTATTTTACAAATGAGGAAACAAGAGTCTAAGAGCTTAATTACCTTAGCAAAGATCACACAGTTGACCTTTGAATACCAGATCTGATACCAAAGCTCATGCGCTTTCCATGCTTCCACACCTAGGTTTACATCCTGGCTCCACTAATTTTGTGACCTTGGGCAAGTTACTTAACATATCTGTGCCTGCATTTCTTCATCAGTTAAAGTGGAGACAATAATCATGCCTACCCTGTAGGATTGCAGTAAATGAATTAATAAAGCTCTTTGAACAGTGCCTGGCACATAATAAGCACCAAACAAGTGTAAACTTCTCTTACTACACCACACTATCTTCCCAAAGCTTATACTATATTACAGCATTACTTATATAGTTACATAGGGTTACACAGGAAGAAATTTAATCCACCTTTAGGGAAAAGTTAAGAATATTTACCCTAAAGCATATTGAAATAGGGACCAATTGGGACTTAGGTTATGGGATAAGTTGTTCTGTCATTAAAATATAGTTTCTGGGCCGGGCGCTGTGGCTCACGCCTGTAATCCTAGCTCTTGGGAGGCCGAGGCGGGCGGATTGCTCAAGGTCAGGAGTTCGAAACCAGCCAAATAGAAAGAAATTAATTGGCCAACTGATATATATATAAAAAATTAGCCGGGCATGGTGGCGCATGCCTGTAGTCCCAGCTACCCAGGAGGCTGAGGCAGAAGGATCACTCGAGCCCAGGAGTTTGAGGTTGCTGTGAGCTAGGCTGACGCCACGGCACTCACTCTAGCCTGGGCAACAAAGCGAGACTCTGTCTCAAAAAAAAAAAAAAAAAAAAATATAGTTTCTTTAACTGGGTATAAGAATAGAAATAAAAGCTGGAAACTGCTTATGGTCTAACACAGGTTGAGCATCCCTACTCTGAAAATCTGAAATGCTCCAAAATTTGAAACTTTTTTGCGTGCTAATGTCACAAGTGGAAAACTGCACACCAGACCTTATGTACAGAAACTTTTGTGAACAAAATTATTTAAAATCCAGGGTGTCCCAAAAGTTGCCATATATAGGGAAAAATGGGAAATTGTGGCTAAATGTAACTTTACATGATATTAATTACAACATTTTACAAAATATTTCTTTTGGAGACTTTTGGGACACCCTGTAGTACATAAAATTGGTGGCTAATCCTGTAATCCTAGCAGTCTGGGATGCCAAGGCCTAAAGATCACTTGAGGCCAGAAGTTCCAGACCAGCCTGAACAAGAGTGAGACCCCATCTCTACAAAAATTAGCCAGGCATGGTGGTGCATGCCTGTAGTCCCAGCAGGCTGAGGCAGGAGGATTGCCTGAGCCTGGGAGTTTGAGGTTGCAGTGAGTTACAATAGCACCACTGCACTCTATCTTGGGCAACAGAGTGAGACGTTGTCTCAAAAAATATAAATAAAAATAAAGTTTAAAACTTATTAATTTAGTCACTTAAGTAGTGGCATTTGATGTTAGATTCAGGATAAAGCAAAATCTCTTTTGTATCTGTAATTCTTCTGGTTGGATTAATTAAGAAATTAACTTTCCCACCAATCATAATAATTTTCCTTCTATTAAACAAAATGCCTTAACATTTAAAATTTTATTTTAGACCTTACCGGAAAGATGAAACCTGATGAAACTCCTATGTTTGACCCAAGTCTACTCAAAGAAGTGGATTGGAGTCAGAATACAGCTACATTTTCTCCAGCCATTTCCCCAACCCATCCTGGAGAAGGCTTGGTTTTGAGGCCTCTTTGTACTGCTGACTTAAATAGAGGTATGGTCTCAGTTTACCAATCTTGACTAGAACTATTGTTAGTTAGCTTTCCATTTTCCCCATAAACATTTGATGCTGATAATTTAAAAAAATATTTGCCTTTTGGACTATTTTTTGTACTTAATTTTTAAAGTGACTGGGACACTCAATTCCAACATGCATGTCATGCTAAGACCAAATATTACTGTGAAATATTTAAAATGACTTAACTATAAAAACCACTCCTTCCTAATTAAGCCCAAAAGGGTTCTCATAAAAACTGTGTCCTCAACAATGTTATTTATCCTTTTTTCACAAGTAATACATTTGGTCATAGTGAGAAACTTAAAAAGTAAAACCAAATCACGTATTTGGAAAAATTTGGCATCCTTTGCATTGAATTTAATGCAAATTACATTGAAAAATGTACATGCTGGTTCTGTATGTATATTAAGGTCAACACTTTCCCACAAATCTTATGTAGGGAAAAGCATTGACAAAACCTATTATTCTTTGTTATACGTAGTGATTATAGATAGAGCAGGTTTTAGTTTAACCTTTTTTAATAATAATTTAAAAAGATGATTATGGAAAGTTCTTTAAAAATAACTGCCCATAATCCCACCAGCTTAACATAGTGTTTCTGTTCATATTCTGTCTTCCTTTTGCTCTTCTTGTGACTTGAAATCTGTTTCTCATAACTAGGTTTTTTTAAGGTACTGGGTCAGCTGACAGAGACTGGAGTTGTCAACCCTGAACAGTTTATGAGTAAGTACTATAGCTTCTTTTTCCTGAATGAAAAGAAAAAAAGGGAAACAAGATTTTATTTTTGTTTAGAGCTCTGTTCAGTGCGTTGTGTTTTTGTTCAAACAGCTGGAAGTTATTCAAATAACAAATTAGCTGTTTTCTTACTTAAATGTTTAATGTGGCTGAGTTGTTCTAGAATCCAAATATAGTGATAACCTCACCTGGCAAAACACCTGACTACTTTTAGATAACTGCTATGGCATAGGACCTAGGTGGCAGCTCTATAGATTTTGTTTTTTTATTGCAGTACAGGCAGTCCCCAGGTTACAGATGACCCAACTTGCAGCATTCTGTTCTTATGAACAGGCTCCACATAAGGATAATTTATAATTAATTACATTAACAATTCAGGAACTATAATAGTTTATAGTAAACAAATCCACATGGCATAAGCGGTTTGTTGGCACAGCATCTGTACACTAGTCTCATTGTTTATAGTGTGGCTTACACATAGCATCACTTTCATATTTTTTATTCAATTTTGTGAGTCTGTGTTTACCCTTACGACCATGCTTCCAGTCCACCGCAAGTCCAGGTGAGCCTGCATTGAAGAGAAAGGTTATTAAAATGGAAACGGAAGTAAAAATAATTAAGCATTCAGAGAAAGGCCAGATGCCATCATTCATTGGGAAAGCATTAGGCCTTAATTGCTCAGCTATCAGAGCAATTTTTATAAATGGAACATGTGAAGGCAGTACCACAGTGAAAGCATCAATTATTACTCAGCAGCATAGTGGATTAAGTATTGAAGTAGAAAGATTATTACTTATTTAGTCTCCCAAGTAGCTAGGACTACAGGCATGCACCACCATGCCTGACTAATTTTTTCTATATATATATTAGTTGGCCAATTAATTTCTTTCTATTTATAGTAGAGACGGGGTCTCGCTCTTGCTCAGGCTGGTTTCGAACTCCTGACCTCGAGCAATCCGCCCGCCTCGGCCTCCCAGAGTGCTAGGATTACAGGCGAGTGTTAACTTTTAGTATTCTTTTTTGAAATTCCTCCAATCTCCCATCTAAACTTTTTGTATGAGTTTGTTTTTGTGTTGTTTGAATTGAAAGAGCACAATCATTTCTGTAACTTATAGTACAGGGGTATTCTTATTACAGTGTTACACTGCATTATTATTACCAATTGAGCCAGCTGGTATCAACAATACCAATTGTGGTATTGTTGTTACCATTACTACCTTACATGTGCTGTTCATTAGGAATATGAGTTACATACAAAATTTGTTTTTCTTTTTTTTTTATTTCAGCATATTATGGGGGTACAGATTTTAAGGTTTCAATAAATGCATTTCCCCCCCTCCCCCCACAAGTCTGAGTCTCCAGCATGACCATCCCCAGATGGTGCACATCTCACTCATTATATATGCATATACCGCCCCCTCCCTACCCAATACCCTATTACTGCAGTACCTATGTGACCACTTGGTGCTGTTCAGTTAATAGAATTTGCTGGTGAGTATATGTGGTGCTTGTTTTTCCATTCTTGGGAAACTTCACTTAATAGTATGGGTTCCAGCTCTAACCAGGAAAATATAAGATGTGCTATATCACCATTGTTTCTTAGAGCTGAATAGTACTCCATGGTATACATATACCACATTACCATTCTTGGATTGATGGGCACTTGGGCTGTTTCCACAGCCTTGCAATTATGAATTGTGCTGCTATAAACATTCGAGTGCAGTGTCTTTTTTGTAGAGTGTCATTGGATCTTTTGGGTAGATGCCCAACAGGGGATTGCTGGATCAAATGGTAGATTCACTTGTATCACTTTAAGGTATCTCCATATTGCTTTCCACAGAGGTTGAACTAATTGCAGTCCCACAAGCAGTGTAGGAGTATAGAATTTTTTATTCATCCTTCATAAATGAAGAAATCATTTAGTAGGAGGTTGTTTAATTTCCATGTTTTGTGTAGAAATGTATGTTTCTGTTAGGGTTGATTTCTACTTTTATTCCACTGTGATCTGAGAAGGTACATGGTATGATTTCTATTTTTTTTTAATTTCTTGAGATTTACTTTGTGTCCTAGGATATGGTCAGTCTTAGAGAATGTCCGTGAGCTGATGAGAAGAACGTATATTCAGTGGATTTTGGTAGAATGTCCTGTAATGTCAGTCAGACCCAGTTGCTCCAAGGTTTGTTTAAGCCATTATTTCTTTATTAATTTTCTGTTTGGAGGTCTGTTTGTGCTGTCAGTGGGGTGTTGAAATCTCCGGTGATTATGGAGTTGCTATTAATCCATTTGCTTAGATCCAGTAAGGTTTGCTTATGAAACTGGTGCACCTAAGTTGGATGCATATATTTAAATTGTTATCTCTTCTTGTTGAAGTATGCCCTTCACCATTATATAATGACCCTCTTTGTCTTTCACTACTTTTGTCTTAAAAACTAAATCGTCTGAAATTAGAACTGCCACGCCAGGCTTCTTTTGCTTCCACTTGCCTGGAATACTGATGCCACCTTTTACTTTTAGCTATATGCATCCTTGCAGGTTAGATGTTTTCTGAAGACAGCATATACTTGGCTGTATTTCTTATCATTCAGCCAGCCTATGTCTCTTGAGTGGAGAGTTAAGCCATTTACATTTATTGAGAGAACTGATAGTTTAAGGTAATTACTGTTCATTCTGTTGGGTTGGAGTGTTGCTTTGATTTCTCTCTTGAGCCATTGATTATCTGGCCTTTAATTTTGGTTTGGTTGTTTTATATTCGTGAGTTTTTATTATGTGGTTCTGTGCATAACACTGTTTTGAGTACTATCTTGTAGGGCTGGTCTTGTTTGGTGAATTCTCTGGACTTTGCTTGTCTGAGAATGTCTTTATTTCTCCTTTATATACGAAGCCTAGTTTGCAGGAATAGATTCTAGGGTGGGCATTGTTTTGTTTCAAAGAATGAGAATGGGCCCAGTCTCTCCTGCTTGTAAGTCTCATTAGAGAAGTCGTGTTTATTGAATTGTATGTCACTTGCTTCTTTCGTCTTACAGCTCTTAGAAGGGCCTCTTTAGTTGATATTTTGGTCAGTTGATGACTGCATGTCGTGATGTCTTCCTGTTTGCATTGAATCTCTCAGGTCCTCTGAGCTTCTTGAACTTGTATATTGAGATTTTGAGCAAGGCTGGGAAATTTTCCTCTATTATATTTCAACTAGCTGTCCAAACCTTGGGTGTTGTCCTCTTTACCTTCTGGTAACTCTGTGACCTCACATTAGCTTTTCTTCACATAACCCCCACATCTCTTGTAGCTTGCTCTTTTCTCTTT